ATACATATATATATGTTTTGGGGGTTCAAGATAAAGCCAAATACCTAAGAGGGGCCCCAGAGTTGTCTTGCCCCTCCAAGTGTTGCCCCAGGACTGCAGGGTTTCTGATATCCCACAGAAAGTGACACATGTAAATTCCAGGGACACAGACCCCATGGAAACTCCTGAGGAAGGGAGGTTGTGATCCGGGCTGCTATGTGGGACTGGAGCCCTGGGTGGTTGCAGTGCCCAGAAAGGCAAAAACAAAACAAAAAAACATTGGAGGGGGTTAAGCCAGGCCATGACTGGCCAAGGGAAGAGGCAGAGGAGGAAGCTAGGACAGAAGAAAGCCAGTTGAATGGGTCCTGAGGCTGAGATGCAAAGGCACCAGAGAAGGAAAGGGTGGAAGAGAAGGCTTCAGGCCATGGCAAGGGCAACTGGCTGGGGTGAGACCCTGGCAGGCCAGAACCCAAGAGAAGGTAAAGAACGGTAGAGGCAACAGCAGAAGATAGATTGCCAAAGAAGTGGAGCGAGACAGAGAAAAAAGCAGAGAAATAATCTGTAGCTCTGCTTTGGAGAAGGAAAGTGGAAGAAACAGAGCACGGGGTGGGTAGAGGGTAGGAATAGAAGCCTAGCCTCAGCACTAGACACTGTCCCTGTGTGAGGCTTTCCTCTTCCTTCCCGAGCATCACATGACCTCCTGAACTGTAGTCACATGGGAGCAGAATATGACAGGTCTAGTGTCTGTCCTGGAATCCTCAGTAACTAGCCCTCTGTGGGCCCCTGCTTCACCACTCTGGCTGCTCTCTCTATCCAAAAGAAGAGCCAGGTGCCAGGGTGAAATTCAGGGAAGAGCCTCATCCTAGAAAGATCCCCTGAAAGATGCCAGCAGCTACATATAGCCGGGAAATCAGGTTAGGCATACTCTGCCTAAGTGTCCTTTGCTGCAGGTGTGCACATGTGCACACACACTCAGGGACATGTTTGTACCCGTGGCTAATGGATAAGGAGGTCACTGCTAAATTCTGCCTTGCTGGCCTCTCCACGCACATCTGCGTTTTCCTGTGTCAAAAGGAACTGGCTCAGATTTCCAAGCTCATGGGTCCATTTCCATTGAAACAGTCAGGTCCTGCCCCCTGTGGTGCAAGGGGGGAGAGGGAAGATGGAGGGTGATAAAAAGATCATGTGGGAAGGCTCCTGGGAGGAAGATGCCTAGTAGGACAGATCTAGGTGCAGGTGACTCTTGCTGTCTGTCCCCTCATTACCTGGTCCATCTGCTGGCTCCCATCTGCCTCTGTAGATCTCTGTAGGCCAAAGTCGGAACAGAAGTTTACGGCCTGAGCCAGTGTTGATCAGTGCCTGGGTCCCCAGGGGGTTTGAAAGGTATTAGCTTTGAGCTGGGGACTGGGGCTGGGCTGGGCTCTAGCGTTGTGTCCTGAGCCCAAGGCTCACTGAGAACACCGGGCAGCTCCCTCCACACCTCGGGCCTGGAGCTGCTTCAGCTGGCTCCTCCTCCCTTTCTTGTGGATGTCCTATACCAGGAAAACCTGCTTAAAATGGGATTTCCAGGTCTGACGTCAAAGGAAAGCCTTCCCTGCCTGATTAGTAGAAGGAAGCTCAGCCGGCCCCCACGAGGCGGCCGAGCAGAGGGAGGAGCTTCCTCGATGATGGAAACGAGCTCTTCCCGCTGTTCCCGGCTTTAAAGACCCCGGTGGCTTCTCCATTACCTTACATTTCGACCGTGCATGATCATGTCCTTCCCAAATTCTACCCCCCACCACCACCACACACACATCAGTTTTATTCTCTGTGCTGGGTCACGCCTGGCGGGAAGAGGAGGAAACACCTTAAGTCCTCAGAGCTGGACAGCGGCTTCGGTTAAGGGCCTGCCTGAGTAGTCTCACATCTAGGCTGGATTGTAGGAAGGGTGCACACGAAGGGAAAAATGCCCACTAGGTGGCGCAGCTCTCTTCCAGTGTGGGATCCCGTGCGTGGCAGATCTCTCCTGTAGCCAGTCCCTCAAGTTTGTGAGGAGAGAATCATTCACCCCAATCCACTGAGCGTGAAGAAAGCATCTTTGAGGGTACACAGGACAGCTGTGGATTCTAAAGCAATCTCTGCCCAAGCCCAGCCTGTGCACACACACCCTGTCTAATTCCTACAGAAGATGGTCAGTCCCAGAAGGTGCATCCTTGGTGTGTGTCAGGCACCCTCTCTGGGGCAGAGAAATTGCTGGGCTGACACTGAGAGGGTCCTACAAACCAAAAGACCCAGCCTGGGTTGTGTGTGTTACTGGGGATCAAACCCAGAGGTACGCGGTCACTCCCTCCAAGTTCCTCAAGCAGGATCTAAACTTGCGATTCTTCTACCTCAGCCTTCCAAAGTGATGAGATTACAGGTGTGTGTCACCTCACCTAGTTCAACCTAAGCTTTCTGAAATGCATTAGAAAATATGCTGGGAGGGCCAGGGAGATGGCTCAGTAGAATAAGCGCTTGCCTGGCAAGCACAAGGGCCTGAGTTCAATCCCTAGTTCCGCAAAAAAAAAAAAAAAAAAAAATGCTGGGACTGGGAGATAGCTCAGAGTCACAATGCCTGCTGGCAAGCACAAGACCTGAGTTCCACCCCCGGTACTGCATGCCTTGCCACAGTACCAGGCATGGCAGCACACACCTGTAATCCCAATGCTGGGGAGGCTGACACAGGAGGATCACTATGAGTCTGAACTGCATAGCGAGACCCTGTACCAAATAAAATAAATAAATAAATAAAATATTTTTTAAAGGGCTGGACAGATAGTTCAGCAGATTAAAGCACCTGCTTAGGCAGATGCAGGGGTGAAGGTTCTGATCCCTGGTGTGCTGTGCTAGCTCCCCCTCCGGGCACGCGATTGAGACTGGGCATGGTGGCCTGCACCTGTAATCCCAGCGCTTGGAAGGCTGAGACAAGACTGACATGAGTTCAAGGCCCACCTGGGCTACAATGTGAGTTTAAAGTCAGCCTGAATTACAGAGCAAGACCCCATTCCTTCCCCGCCAAAAAAAAAAAAAAAAAAAAAAAAAGGATATAGTCGGAACAAGCAGAAGAGCAGGAGGAAGAGGAAGAGGAGGGGGAAGAAGAGGAATAAGAAGGAGGACAAGAAGAAGAAGAAGAAGAAGAAGAAGAAGAAGAAGAAGAAGAAGAAGAAGAAGAAGAAGAAGAAGAAGAAGAAGAAGAAGGAAAAGAGTTCAAAGACAGGGGAGTTCACCTAGTGGCACTGTTCCCTGGACAGAGCCATAGTGGCCAGCTGGAACCTGCTCCGAACTTCCCTGCCCCCTGCCCCTTGGTTTCATCTATGCTTCAT